TCTGCTCTAACATATATACACACACGACTCAGCAGACTCTGCTCTAACATTTACGACTCAGCAGACTCTGCTCTAATATATACGACTCAGCAGACTGTTCTAATATATACGACTCAGCAGACTCTGCTCTAATATATACGACTCAGCAGACTCTGCTCTAAAATACGACTCAGCAGACTCTGCTCTAACATATACGACTCAGCAGACTCTGCTCTAATATATATATACACGACTCAGCAGACTCTGCTCTCATATATATATATATATATATGACTCAGCAGACTCTGCTCTAACATATACGACTCAGCAGACTCTGCTCTAACATATATACGACTCAGCAGACTCTGCTCTAACATATACGACTCAGCAGACTCTGTTCTAACATATACGACTCAGCAGACTCTGCTCTAACATATACGACTCAGCAGACTGCTCTAACATATACGACTCAGCAGACTCTGCTCTAACATATATACGACTCAGCAGACTCTGCTCTAACATATACGACTCAGCAGACTCTGCTCTAACATATACGACTCAGCAGACTCTGCTCTAATATATATACACGACTCAGCAGACTCTGCTCTAATATATATACACGACTCAGCAGACTCTGCTCTAATATATATACGACTCAGCAGACTCTGCTCTAATATATATACGACTCAGCAGACTCTGTTCTAACATATACGACTCAGCAGACTCTGCTCTAATATATATACGACTCAGCAGACTCTGTTCTAACATATACGACTCAGCAGACTCTGCTCTAATATATATACACACGACTCAGCAGACTCTGCTCTAATATATATACGACTCAGCAGACTCTGCTCTAATATATACACGACTCAGCAGACCCTGCTCTAATATATATATACGACTCAGCTCTAATATATACGACACAGCAAACTCTGTTCTAACATATACGACTGAGCAGACTCTGCTCTAACATATACGACTCAGCAGACTCTGCTCTAACATATACGACTCAGCAGACTCTGCTCTAACATATACGACTCAGCAGACTCTGCTCTAACATATACGACTCAGCAGACTCTGCTCTAACATATACGACTCAGCAGACTCTGCTCTAACATATACGACTCAGCAGACTCTGCTCTAACATATATACGACTCAGCTCTAACATATACGACTCAGCAGACTCTGTTCTAACATATACGACTGAGTAGACTCTGCTCTAACATATACGAATCAGCAGACTCTGCTCTAACATATACGACTCAGCAGACTCTGCCCTAATATATATACACATGACTCAGCAGACTCTGCTCTAATATATACGACTCAGCAGACTGTTCTAATATATACGACTCAGCAGACTCTGCTCTAAAATACGACTCAGCAGACTCTGCTCTAACATACACGACTCAGCAGACTCTGCTCTCATATATATATATATATGACTCAGCAGACTCTGCTCTAACATATACGACTCAGCAGACTCTGCTCTAACATATATACAACTCAGCAGACTCTGCTCTAACATATACGACTCAGCAGACTCTGTTCTAACATATACGACTCAGCAGACTCTGCTCTAACATATACGACTCAGCAGACTCTGCTCTAACATATACGACTCAGCAGACTGCTCTAACATATACGACTCAGCAGACTCTGCTCTAACATATACGACTCAGCAGACTCTGCTCTAACATATACGACTCAGCAGACTCTGCTCTAATATATATACACGACTCAGCAGACTCTGCTCTAATATATACGACTCAGCAGACTCTGCTCTAATATATACGATTCAGCAGACTCTGCTCTAATATATATACGACTCAGCAGACTCTGTTCTAACATATACGACTCAGCAGACTCTGCTCTAATATATATACGCAAGACTCAGCAGACTCTGCTCTAAGATATACGACTCAGCAGACTCTGCTCTAACATATACGACTCAGCAGACTCTGCTCTAACATATATACGACTCAGCTCTAACATATACGACTCAGCAGACTCTGTTCTAACATATACGACTGAGTAGACTCTGCTCTAACATATACGACTCAGCAGACTCTGCTCTAACATATACGACTCAGCAGACTCTGCTCTAACATATATACGACTCAGTTCTAACATATACGACTCAGCAGACTCTGTTCTAACATATACGACTGAGTAGACTCTGCTCTAACATATACGACTCAGCAGACTCAGCTCTATCATATACGACTCAGCAGACTCTGCTCTAACATATACGACTCAGCAGACTCTGCTCTAATATATACGACTCAGCAGACTCTGCTCTAATATATATACACGACTCAGCAGACTCAGCTCTAATATATATACACGACTCAGCAGACTCAGCTCTAATATATACGACTCAGCAGACTCAGCTCTAATATATACGACTCAGCAGACTCAGCTCTAATATATACGACTCAGCAGACTCTGCTCTAATATATACGACTCAGCAGACTCTGCTCTAATATATACGACTCAGCAGACTCTGCTCTAATATATACGACTCAGCAGACTCTGCTCTAATATATACGACTCAGCAGACTCTGCTCTAATATATACGACTCAGCAGACTCTGCTCTAATATATACGACTCAGCAGACTCTGCTCTAACATATACGACTCAGCAGACTCTGTTCTAACATATACGACTCAGCAGACTCTGTTCTAACATATACGACTCAGCAGACTCTGCTCTAATATATATACGACTCAGCAGACTCTGCTCTAATATATATACGACTCAGCAGACTCTGCTCTAATATATACGACTCAGTAGACTCTGCTCTAACATACGACTCAGCAGACTGCTCTAACATATACGACTCAGCAGACTCTGCTCTAACATATACGACTCAGCAGACTCTGCTCTAACATATATACACGACTCAGCAGACTCTGTTCTAACATATACGACTGAGTAGACTCTGCTCTAACATATACGACTCAGCAGACTGCTCTAATATATACGACTCAGCAGACCCTGCTCTAATATATATACGACTCAGCTCTAACATATACGACTCAGCAGACTCTGCTCTAACATATACGACTCAGCAGACTCTGCTCTAACATATACGACTCAGTAGACTCTGCTCTAACATATACGACTCAGCAGACTCTGCTCTAACATATACGACTCAGCAGACTCTGCTCTAACATATACGACTCAGCAGACTCTGCTCTAACATATACGACTCAGCAGACTCTGCTCTAACATACGACTCAGCAGACTCTGCTCTAATATATATACACGACTCAGCAGACCCTGCTCTAATATATATACACGACTCAGCTCTAACATATACGACTCAGCAGACTCTGCTCTAACATATACGACTCAGCAGACTCTGCTCTAACATATACGACTCAGCAGACTCTGCTCTAACATATACGACTCAGCAGACTCTGCTCTAATATATATACGACTCAGCAGACTCTGCTCTAATATATATCGCGACTCAGCAGACTCTGCTCTAATATATATACACGACTCAGCAGACTCTGCTCTAATATACATACACGACTCAGCAGACTCTGCTCTAATATATATACACGACTCAGCATACCCTGCTCTAATATATATACGACTCAGCTCTCACATATATACGACTCAGCAGACTCTGCTCTAACATATACGACTCAGCAGACTCTGCTCTAACATATACACGACTCAGCAGACTCTGCTCTAACATATACGACTCAGCAGACTCTGCTCTAATATATATACGACTCAGCAGACTCTGCTCTAACATATACGACTCAGCAGACTCTGCTCTAACATATACGACTCAGCAGACTCTGCTCTAACATATACGACTCAGCAGACTCTGCTCTAATATATACGACTCAGCAGACTCTGCTCTAACATATACGACTCAGCAGACTCTGCTCTAACATATATACGACTCAGCAGACTCTGCTCTAACATATATACGACTCAGCAGACTCTGCTCTAACATATACGACTCAGCAGACTCTGCTCTAACATATACGACTCAGCAGACTCTGCTCTAACATATACGACTCAGCAGACTCTGCTCTAATATATATACGACTCAGTAGACTCTGCTCTAATATATACGACTCAGCAGACTCTGCTCTAACATATACGACTCAGCAGACTCTGCTCTAACATATATACGACTCAGCAGACTCTGCTCTAATATATATACGACTCAGCTCTAACATATACGACTCAGCAGACTCTGCTCTAACATATACGACTCAGCAGACTCTGCTCTAACATATACGACTCAGCAGACTCTGCTCTAACATATACGACTCAGCAGACTCTGCTCTAATATATATACGACTCAGCAGACTCTGCTCTAATATATACGACTCAGCAGACTCTGCTCTAATATATATACGACTCAGCAGACTCTGCTCTAATATATATACGACTCAGTAGACTCAGCTCTAATATATATACACGACTCAGCAGACTCTGCTCTAATATATACGACTCAGCAGACTCTGCTCTAACATATACGACTCAGCAGACTCTGCTCTAACATATATACGACTCAGCAGACTCTGCTCTAATATATATACACGACTCAGTAGACTCTGCTCTAATATACACGACTCAGCAGACTGTTCTAATATATACACGACTCAGCAGAGTCTTACAGTGCTGTGAGTATGTGTACCGGATCCCTGCGGAATTGAACCCACGACTTTAGCATTTTTGGCGCTGTTTATAACCCGGCCCCTGTTCTCACCTGAGGCGTCTATAAGCTGTTATACTGTTCTCACCTGAGGTGTCTATAAGCTGTTATACTGTTCTCACCTGAGGCGTCTATAAGCTGTTATACTGTTCTCACCTGAGGTGTCTATAAGCTGTTATACTGTTCTCACCTGAGGTGTCTATAAGCTGTTATACTGTTCTCACCTGAGGTGTCTATAAGCTGTTATACTGTTCTCACCTGAGGTGTCTATAAGCTGTTATACTGTTCTCACCTGAGGTGTCTATAAGCTGTTATACTGTTCTCACCTGAGGCGTGAAGATCTTGTTGTTGAACAGGAAGTGATGTCGGAACACCTTGATGATGAGATCGAGCTCCCGCAGGTACTGGCGCTCCTCTGCGATCTCCAGGCGCACCAGGTCATCGTAGGTCAGCTCGCCCGACGACGACGGCTCCTCCGTACACTGAGACACCAGACCGATGTCCTCGTCCTGGTCAAACATGTCCATTAGGACCTGCAACAGAGACATCAGGTCAGACATGTCCATCAACACCTGGGACGGACACACAGAGACAGGTTAGCAAGTCAACCAGGACCCATAGAATATATCTACTGACTTTGGAGTGGATTGGCATTGAAGGTGATTGAGAGATACAGAAAAACACAGACAGACAGCTAGACACAGACAGACAGACAGCTAGACACAGACAGACAGACAGCTAGACACAGACAGACAGACAGCTAGACACAGACAGACAGACAGCTAGACACAGACAGCTAGACACAGACAGACAGACACAGACAGACAGACAGACAGACAGCTAGACACAGACAGACAGACAGACAGCTAGACACAGACAGACAGACAGACAGCTAGACACAGACAGACAGACAGACAGCTAGACACACAGACAGACAGACAGCTAGACACAGACAGACAGACAGACAGCTAGACACAGACAGACCGACAGACAGCTAGACACAGACAGACCGACAGACAGCTAGACACAGACAGACCGACAGACAGCTAGACACAGACAGACCGACAGACAGCTAGACACAGACAGACCGACAGACAGCTAGACACAGACAGCTAGACACAGACAGCTAGACAGACAGACCGACAGCTAGACAGACAGACCGACAGCTAGAGCTAACAGACAGACAGCTAGACACCAGACAGACAGGACAGACAGACCGACAGCTAGACAGACAGACCGACAGCTAGACACAGACAGCTAGACACAGACAGACAGACCGACAGCTAGACACAGACAGACAGACCGACAGCTAGACACAGACAGACAGACCGACAGCTAGACACAGACAGACAGACCGACAGCTAGACACAGACAGACAGACCGACAGCTAGACACAGACAGACAGACCGACAGCTAGACACAGACAGACAGACAGACAGCTAGACAGACAGACAGACCGACAGCTAGACAGACAGACAGACCGACAGCTAGACACAGACAGACAGACCGACAGCTAGACAGACAGACAGACCGACAGCTAGACAGACAGACAGACCGACAGCTAGACACAGACAGACAGACCGACAGCTACAGACACAGACCGACAGGACAGACCGACAGCTAGACACAGACAGACAGACCGACAGCTAGACACAGACAGACAGACCGACAGCTAGACACAGACAGACAGACCGACAGCTAGACACAGACAGACAGACCGACAGCTAGACACAGACAGACAGACCGACAGCTAGACACAGACAGACAGACCGACACAGCTAGACAGACAGACAGACCGACAGCTAGACAGACAGACAGACGACAGCTAGACAGACCGACAGCTAGACACAGACAGACAGACCGACAGCTAGACACAGACAGACAGACCGACAGCTAGACACAGACAGACAGACCGACAGCTAGACACAGACAGACAGACCGACAGCTAGACACAGACAGACAGACCGACAGCTAGACACAGACAGACAGACCGACAGCTAGACACAGACACAGACAGACCGACAGCTAGACACAGACACAGACAGACCGACAGCTAGACACAGACACAGACAGACCGACAGCTAGACACAGACACAGACAGACCGACAGCTAGACACAGACAGACCGACAGCTAGACACAGACAGACCGACAGCTAGACACAGACAGACCGACAGCTAGACACAGACAGACCGACAGCTAGACACAGACAGACCGACAGCTAGACACAGACAGACCGACAGCTAGACACAGACAGACCGACAGCTAGACACAGACAGACCGACAGCTAGACACAGACAGACCGACAGCTAGACACAGACAGACCGACAGCTAGACACAGACAGACAGACAGCTAGACACAGACAGACAGACAGATAGACAGATGGACAGACAGATGGACAGACGGTATGGTATGTTTCCTACCTTGTCTGCACACATGGACACCTTGATGTCTTGCTGGCTGATCTCATAATGTCTGATGTTACCAACGTAGTTTCCTGCTAGCTTCAGGATGTCAGCTGATATGTATTCTAGCACCGCCACGATGTAGAGGCAGACGTGGTAGTCTATCTTATAACCCAGCACCTCCTGTAGACAGGATAAACAGCAGGAGAGGAGAGAGGGGGGTTAGAGTTAGAGAGGAGAGGAGAGGAGAGGAGAGAGGGGGGTTAGAGTTAGAGAGGAGAGGAGAGGAGAGGAGAGAGGGGGGTTAGAGTTAGAGAGGGAGGGTGCATCTTATCCACAGAGAGCAGCAGGGGGTGTATGTACCTTCAGCAGATGGTGTATCTACCTTCAGCAGGGGGAGTATCTACCTTCAGCAGGGGGAGTATCTACCTTCAGCAGGGGGAGTATCTACCTTCAGCAGGGGGAGTATCTACCTTCAGCAGGGGGTGTATCTATCTTCAGCAGGGGGAGTATCTACCTTCAGCAGGGGGAGTATCTACCTTCAGCAGGGGGTGTATCTACCTTCAGCAGGGGGTGTATCTACCTTCAGCAGAGGGTGTATCTACCTTCAGCAGGGGGAGTATCTACCTTCAGCAGGGGGAGTATCTACCTTCAGCAGGGGGAGTATCTACCTTCAGCAGGGGGAGTATCTACCTTCAGCAGGGGGTGTATCTACCTTCAGCAGGGGGTGTATCTAACTTCAGCAGATGGTGTATCTACCTTCAGCAGGGGGAGTATCTATCTTCAGCAGGGGGAGTATCTACCTTCAGCAGGGGGAGTATCTACCTTCAGCAGGGGGAGTATCTACCTTCAGCAGGGGGTGTATCTACCTTCAGCAGGGGGTGTATCTACCTTCAGCAGATGGTGTATCTACCTTCAGCAGGGGGAGTATCTATCTTCAGCAGGGGGTGTATGTACCTTCAGCAGGGGGAGTATCTACCTTCAGCAGGGGGAGTATCTACCTTCAGCAGGGGGAGTATCTACCTTCAGCAGGGGGTGTATCTACCTTCAGCAGGGGGTGTATCTACCTTCAGCAGGGGGAGTATCTATCTTCAGCAGGGGGTGTATGTACTTTCAGCAGGGGGAGTATCTACCTTCAGCAGGGGGAGTATCTACCTTCAGCAGGGGGAGTATCTTATCCACAGGGAGCAGCAGGGGGTGTATCTACCTTCAGCAGGGGGAGTATCTACCTTCAGCAGGGGGTGTATCTACCTTCAGCAGGGGGAGTATCTATCTTCAGCAGGGGGTGTATGTACCTTCAGCAGGGGGAGTATCTACCTTCAGCAGGGGGAGTATCTACCTTCAGCAGGGGGAGTATCTACCTTCAGCAGGGGGTGTATC